GCCGAGAGCTTTGCCCACTGAGCTGCAGCAAGAAGCCAAATCAAAAAGCCAATCTCTGCGCCTCCACGCCGAACGTCACCCTATCAGCTGGGAGAGGGCGCGCTGCGCCGAATGACAAGCCGCGCGTATTTATCCTCGCCCGCCCGTGGGGGGAATTTTCAGATCGCTTCCCGGCCGGCAGTGTGCAAGTCGAGCCCGCACCTCGTTGAGTCCAGAGAGACCCGAGGACGAATGCAGACACAACCCCTCGCCCGCGGCCACCCACCCCACCGTCGGAGCCTGGCGCCCCGCTCCTCCGGGCCAGCGGTACCTCCAAGACGGCGGCGCGTCCTGACCTGGATTCCGCCGAGTCCGGAGCTCCGGGCAGCAGGCAGGGCGGGCGGAACACGGGCGCGCGGCACCGGCTTTCCCCTTGTCCTTAGGAGACGCCGTCTGCAATTCCGAAATTGAGTTTCCACCAAACATTTGTGGTTTTTAAATATAGCAGGGGGACGACTACCCAGGCAGGGTCCACCCAGGCCTAGGGGAGGAGTTGAGGACGATGGAGGTTGGCAGTGGAGGGAAAATAAAACTCCTTCTCACCCCCCCCCCTTTTTTTTCTGCTGTTTTTGGTGCAGAACTCAGTCTGTCATTTTCTCAACCCAAATCAAACAACAGCTTGTGAGAGACGCTTTGGGAGCGCTGGTATGTTTTGGTTTTGGGTTTTTAAGGCTAAAAATAAGAGGGGGCTGTCTCCCAAATTGCTGCTTACTCTGAGCCTGGAGCCTGGAAGAGAGATGGTCCTTTGATGCAGCAACAGAACTAGGGTTTGGGGCTTGGCTCGGGCGAAGTGTACACATGTAGCCTTAAATCAGATGCCTGTAATTTTTTGCTATATTTGTCAGGCTTGGTCCTGGAGGCATGAGGGGCGGGCAGGCCTCTCCTAAGAAAGGGGTTTCACATTCCTAGTATATCTGACGGCGTTACACAGATCTAAAATGATCATGGTGGCCGGCCTTTTGTAGAGACATCAACGCAGAATCTGGGACAGAATGTAAGAGTGGGATGTTGTTTCTCTCAGGCCTCTGCTGCCTAAAGCCAAGTGTGCAGGGCCAACAAATAACCAATTATCAGCACTGAATTTATTCCACTACGGCTAAAGGCAGAGTGACTTGTGCGTGTTCTTTGAGTTCTAGGTAGACTGAAATAACAAAACCCAGCTCAACATTCTGAGCCTCTGTGTCCTCACCAGTAAAATGCAAGTAATAATATCCACCTCGAGGAGTTGTGAAGATTCGGTGAGATTACAGTCTGGTATAGAGTAATTCCCAAATGTGTTAATTCTCTTTATCCTCCCAACCCTGTTTCTCGCCCACTGGAAGTTCTACAGCTGCCTTTCTCCTGTGAACACTACCTGGAGTTTCTCATTTATTTCCTCCTCCCTACTACATGCATGCAGGGTTGATGGCAGCTGGCCTTCAATTTCTGCCATTATTCATTCCCTTATTTCTGGTTGTGCTAGAACTCAAGAGGATTTTTACGGAAAGCCAGCAAGCAAAGTACTGATGGTCAGCATTCGGAGCAAGAGCCACAAACTTCATTTTAAGCTGGGAGGACACTGACACCCAAAGAAGGGAGGGGATTCGATCCAATCACAGAACCCCACAAGGGATAGAATCTGTTATGGGCTGAACTGTGGTGGCCATCCCCACCCCCACCCCCCACCCCAAATGTGTATGTTAAAGTGGTAACCTCCACTACCTCAAGAAAGTGACTGCAAAGCAGTAATTGTTAAAGTGGGGTAGTTATGGTGAGCCCTAACTGAATGACTGGTGTCCACACAGACGGACGACCATGTGAAAATAAAGCAGGAAGTCAGCATCTGCAAGCTGAGGACAGAGGCTTCAGAAGAAACCAAACCTGCTGGTTCCTTGAGCTCGAACTTCTAGCCTCCAGAGTGTGAGAGAATAAGTTTCTGTTTTTAAGCCACCCAGTCAGTGGTAATTTCTTATGGCAGCCCTAGCAGGCTAATACAGAATCCAAGTATTCTGGCTGATTCTATGAGTCCTTATTAGAGTCCAACTTCAAGGAGTTACCTAGGGTTATTTGGAACCTTGAAACATGCTGGATTTTATAATTTGACAAAAAGGAAGCAAGGAAACCAGCTTTTATTAAATGCCTGCTATGACCCTGTACTATGTGTTGTTGTTTTTAATATATTTTTATTGATTTCAGAGAAGAAGGGAGAGGAAGAGAGAGAGAAACATCAGTGATGAGAGAGAATCATTGATCGGCTGCCTCCTGCATGCCCCTTACTGGGGATCAAGCCCACAATCAGGCATATGCCCTTGCCTGGAATCAAACCTGGGACCCTTCAGTCTGCAGGCCAGCACTCTATCCACTAAGCCAAATCAGCTAGGGCTGTACTATATTTTTATGTGTGTTATTTCACTCAACGAATACATATTTGTGGAACACTTTCTATGTGCCAAATACTATTCTAGTGTGGGGATAAAACTGAATAATGAAGATAAAAATCCCTGCCCTCATGGAACCTGTATTTTTAAATCTTTTTAAAATTCTAGAGCTCTTACCATTAGCAACAGCATAAATGGACCTGGAGAGTATTATGCAAAGCAAAATAAGCCAGTCAGAGAAAGATAAATATCACATGATCTCACTCATATGTGAAATCTAATGAACAAAACAAACTGATGAACAAAATAGATCCAAAGACATAGAAGCATAAAACAGACTGACGAATTTCAGAGGGAAGGTGGGGGTGGGGCAGTGGGTTGGGAGTGATTAACAGGAAACTTATCCTATCCTATATAAGCCTAATATGCTAAGTGTCCAGTCATCTGTTCAACCAATCAAAGCATAATATGCTAATGATATGCTAAGGCCACTCAACCTCTCGCTGTGACTGTGAACTGACCACCAGGAGGCAGACAGTTGACTGGTCACTATGATGTGCACTGACCACTCTCCGACCAGTAGGTTAGCTTGCTGCTGAGGTCAGGCCAGTTAGGACTGAGCGAGAAGGGCCAGACACGCCCTGGAGTCCTCCTAAGGCCCCTCCCCACAGCCAGCCCCACCCCCTATGTGCCCCCATCAGGGTAGGCCAGTCAGCCCCCACCCGTGCATGAATTCATGCACCAGGCCTCTAGTATACATATATGAACACAGACAATAGAGGCCTGAGAGGGGCAGGTTTTGTGTAGGGGGGGGGCGGTCAAATGGGGGGGAAAAAAAGGGGACATCTGTAATACTTTCAATAATAAAGAAAAAAATAAAGGCAAAAATATGTATTTTTAAAATTCTATTTACTAAAATGAATTTTTTTAAGTATTTTACTTTTGTATCCAGTTACCTTATTCCACTATTTAAATAATAGCCTAACATTTATGGAAAACTAACAAAGGGCTAGACATTGTTCTAAGTATTTTATGTGTATAGCTCATTTAATTCTCATAATATCCCTATAAAGTAGATACTATTATATCAGTTCTATAGATGAGAAAAGTGAAACAAAGTAGAATTTCTTAGATTCTTTTGCTAGAAAAACAATCTTCTAATCTGAAAATAAAAATTTTACTATTTACCAATAGTAAATAGTAATTTTTCATTTTATTTTCTTATATTGGCTAAAACTTATAAACCAACATTGAATAACAGAAAAAACAATAGGCATCTTTGTCTATAAAATATAAAAGGACTTAATGTGCAAGTACATTCCATTTGTGCAAGTATCTTCCATCCTTAAAGAAATCCTTACTCCATGCCCTAACCAGTTTGGCTCAGTGGATAGAGCGTCGGCCTGCGGGCTGAAGGGTCCCAAGTTCGATTCTAGTCAAGGGCATGTACCTTGGTTGCGGGCACATTCCCAGTAGGGGGTGTGCAGGAGGCAGCTGATCAATGTTTCTCTCTCATTGATGTTTCTAATCTATCCCTCTCCCTTCCTCTCTGTAAAAAAATCAATAAAATATATATTTTTTTAAAAAAAGAAATCCTTACTCTAGCCCACAACCCCGTCAGGATTTCTTCCCTCTATAAGTAATGGGGAATTCAACAACAGTAGTTTAAAACCGTAAGAAGTCCAAAGGAAAGTGATCTCAGGGTAATTCAGCAATTCAGTAAAGTCATCCAGGATGTAAGATATTTCTATTCAACTGTCCCTGGCATGTTGACGTTTCCCCTCATGCTTGTACTAGTAAGCTCCAGAGCTGGTAAGAGGTTATAATGCAGGACTGACTACCTGTTCCATATTGTTGAGGGAGAAAAACTTACCACAGACCTGAATTAAGTATCGTGGGTGAATTAGGCCCCACAGGAGTTTCTGCCATTGTGGGCTTCTCCGGGTCACTGACCTTGGACACTAGTTACAGTCTCTGAGGTTCAGAGGTGAGGTCCAAATGGGGAAGAGTGGGTTTCAGTTATGATCAAGTACACAAAGGAAGAAACCCCTGCCACTTGCAACAACATGGATGAACTTGGAGGCCATGCGAAATGAAATAAGCCACACACAGAAAGACAAATACTGTATCTTACATAGAGAATCTAAAGAAGTCAAACTCATAGGACCAGAAAGTAGAATAGTGGTTGCCAGGGGGTGTGGGGTGGAGGAAATGGGGAGATGTTGGTCAAGGGGTGCTTTCAGTTGTAAGATTACTAAGTTCTGGGAGTCCAATGCATGGAATGATGACTACAGTTAACAATATTGTATACTTAAAATTTGCTAAGAGAGTAGATATTACGTGTTCTCACCACAAAAATATATACATATATT